TACCTGGGCAATTCTCAATCAGTGCTCTGAAAAGACCTCTTTGCCCGTGGGACACACTACCTTCCAGGACTAAATAAGGTTTTCTTTTTCACTTGTTTGTTTTTGTTTTTTTGCTTTTTGGTGAGGCAATCAGGGTTAAGTGACTTGCCCAGGGTCACACAGCTAGTAAGTATTATGTATCTGGAGACTGGAGTCCTCCTGACTCCAAGGCCAGAGCTCTATCCATTGCGCTACCTACCTGCCCAACGATTAAATAAGTTTGACTGGGTGTGTCCTTCAAAGCAAATTAATTGTAGTGATAACTAACATACATGTAGGTTTTAAGATTTTCCAAATGTTTTATACCAATTACCTCATTTTATTATCACAATAATGCTAAATGTTGTTATTATTAACCCCATTTTACAGATGAGAAAACTGAGGTTGGTTAAATGATTTACCAAGAATCATATAACTTGTAAGTATGTGAGGTAAGATTCAAACTAATGTCTTACTTATTCCCCAGTCCAGCACTTCCCCTTCTATACCACCTACCTGGTCACATGATATCCAAGTTTATCATTTAACAAGTGTGAGGACCCACCCACTTTCAAAAAATCTGCACTCAAATTCTGGTCAGTCTCAACCTACGACTAAATTAGGCACTTACACTCAGGCTAAAACTAAAGGTCTGAAGAGTTGAACTCAATTAAGAAAAGCCATGTCTGAAAGTGTGACATCTGGGTAAGTAAGGCATTTGAATGCCTTCTGGGAACCATCATTTCTCCAAAGACAAACTTGAATCAGTCCTGCCAGCTAGTAAAGTAGGTGCCTTCATCATTCACTCTATTTAAGGATCTGGAGGAAAAAATTTCTTAGTCTAATTGGGTTCCATTGTAACATGACTTGACCAAGGAAGGGAAGGAGTTCCCACTCGAGACCTTAAGTGACCAAGAATCTCTTCTCCATTTTCTAGTCATAGGTAAGGATCAGGTAAGGAAGAAAAGGTATATAATAATAGCCAACATTTATAGAGTGCTTACAAAACATTTTATATATATATTGGCTCATTTGAGCCTCACAACAACCCAAGAAAATAGGTACTATCATTATCCCCATTTTTACAGATGAGGAAATCGACACAACAGAACTTAAACACCCATGTTAACACAACTAGTAAGTACTTGAGACAAGTTTTGAACTTGGTTCTTCCTGACTTCAAGTCTCTAACTACCCTATCCATTCAATCCTGGACAGGAGGGAGGAATTCCATACCAGTTGTCTTTGTAGTACATCTTCAGAATAAAAAGATTGTTTTTAAATATTGAGGGTTTCTTCTACTTATGCCATCTCTGTTTCTACAGTTAACATTGCATTCAAGGATGGGCTTCCCCCCCCCCATTCAAAGGTAATGAATTCAAACACAATAGATCTGAGACTTATTTGAGATTCATAATGTTAAAAGTTTCCCACCCATCTCCCCAATTCAGGCCTTTTACTCACTCTTATCAGAGCAAGTAAAGTGGAAATAAAATTCTGTAAGGTGATAACATTTTTACTTGAATGTCTATCACTTAGAACCACACAACTCAACTGAAAAAAGCTCAGAAGCCAATATCAATTGAAATCTGCCTTTGGAGTAGCAGTCTGCTTGGTGTTAATAGTTTTCATTTTCATTGAAAATCATTAGTGTTGAATGATAAACTGTGTTAATTAATGGTCATGTTAAATAATGACCAAAAAGATCTTCAAGGAAAGTAAGACTGTGAATTGCTGAATATGGAATAAATGATTCCTTTTCTCTCTCTCTTTCTCTTTCACTCTCTCTCTGTCTCTGTCCCTCTCCCTCTCTCCCCCTCCCTCCAGAGTCATACTTCACACCTCTCACAGCCAAATGCATTTCTCACTTTCAGAATTTTTATTCAAATATTTCTGCATGGCAAGTCTCAGCATGGAGCTGATGCCTAAGAAGTTCAAGGTGACTTAGAAGCAAATCCAGAGGTTTTGTGTGATTGGCTCAGTCTTATGCTGCTGACTTTCAGAAATAGGGGCCTTAAACACTGCTGGCATCTTCCTCTGACAACCAAAAAAATGAAATAAAATAAAACACACACTTGCCTTTTCGTATTTTTAGAGGGGAAAAAAAGCAATTTTTGTTGTTGTTGTTATCGTTACATGTTACAAGCCTTATATCAAGGTTTACCTGCCAATAGCTGCTGCTTATCATCTGTCCACACACTTTCAACTTTAGTCAAGTGCTTCTAATTTCTTGTTCCCACCTGCAGGGCCCAGAGAAGCTGGAATTGGCTCCAAACAAGACCCAAATAGAAGCCTGGATGCCGGGGCAATGAACTGATCATGTCCTTGATGCTGGCCTGTTTCCAGGCTTGTTTGTTTCCTTCTTTGAGCTCCTCTAGAACCCCTGGCTCTTGACTACCTGCTTTGGTTTTTGACCCTCCCCCCCACTTTGGCTTTGGTTCTTGCAGGCTTTGCCATCCTTCTGGTCTTCTGATCTACCCATCTGGCCCTACTTGAATAAATTCAATCCTGTTTTATTCTACAAACATGTACAAACATCTTCTATGTCCCAGACATTAAGGATATTAAGATGAAATCAGATATGGTCCCTTCCCTCAAAGAGCTTACCCTCTTGTCAATTCAGTTACTAGTCATACCCTACCATCTTTCCATAGTAGCCTTATTGCTTTCTCTTGGAAGGATAAGAATCCTGACCCCTGTACCTGCTGCCTGACCACTTTTCCTACCTCTTTATTCAACCTGCCCCAGTTGGTACAATCCCATGGTTCCCTTGAAACTGGCACATATTGAGCTCCTCTGGCACCAGTCCCTCTCCCTGATCAGTGATCCCTAAACCACCTACCCTGATACCTTGTCAATTTTACCATATTAGAACACTGCAAAGGACTCATTTATCAAGGATTCCTTTCTGTGCCACCTTTCATTTTATTCAACAGAATTCTTTACTTCAAATATTGTTGATCAGAAAACAATGCTCTCCCTTTTGCCAGACTCATGGCCCTATCCCAACACTGATCTGCTCTGTTTAACCTGCTCTGTTAGTATGACCTGGGCTAGTTTACCCTTGCCTAGTAGCTTTCCTGTGCCCCCCGGGGGCTCACCATCTTGGCACTAGACTTAGTAAAGACACCTGATTGGCTTTAGCTCTACTGCAGCTCACAATTCCTGAACTCAATTGATCCACAAGCCTTGCTTGCCTCTCCAGCAGCACAGATTACAGGTAAATGCTCCCAGGTGAGTTCACTGAGTGGAAGAATAACATTGTTAAATAGAAAGAAAAGTTACATTCAAGCTTCCCTCAGTGCTTTAAGCATTTAAGTGCTTTTAAGATTTTTGTCCCAATACCATATTCCAATTAAAGAGTTAAGTGAGTTTAACCAAAAAAAAAAAGTGGGGGTCCACATAATCTACTTTCACCAGTTTCTGTGAATTTTGGTGCTAAACTATAATCTTTTAGCCAGATTTATACTGAAATCTTAGGATTCAGAGCAGGAAAGGACTCATGAGCATCATCTAATCTAAACCTTTCATTTTGCAAAGAAGGAAAATGAATCACAGAGGGGGAAATAATTTGCCCCAGTCACAAGTAACCAGCCAGGATTCAAACCTCCATCTCCTGACTCTTGATCTTTCCATCTCCCATGTATCCTTTCCTACTCCTTTTCTACTCTTTTTTCTTCCTAGTATTTCCATTCTGTCCACTTTTTAAAAAAATTATTTTCTTTTTCTTTTTTTTTCTACCTATTCCAATACATCTTTTTCTTTTCAATCCCTACTGCTTGTCTCACAAAGTAAGTAACCCATTGGAATACAATTAGGATGCTTACAGGGCTAATCAATCCTGATAATTCCATGTTTATTGTGTTTATCTTGCCTAACATACAGCTTCTGATTACCTGCAGTTTTCATTTGAAAACAAGAAGAGGAAACTGAAAGGGACTGAGACAGACAGAAAGACAGAGACAGTCAGTAAGAAAGACAGGGAGAGCAATGGTACCAACAATGATAGTAGGTAGAATTTGATGAGAAAAATTCACTGGTATGAAATTATCTTTGGCAAGAATTGTCCTTGTCATCAGATTCTGGGATGAAAGTGAAGTCCCCAATTGCAAAGTTAAGACAGAACTAATGTCCCTTGAGAACTACTGAATGCTTTGGAGAACGGTTGCCTCTTGAGTTTGGCCTTCCCCATTGGCATGAATAAAATATTTGCTGAGTGGATGTTAAGTGTCTAGAGAATGCAAAGAGTGGTGTCTAAGTATTTCATCCCATAACTACCTCCCTGCCTCCCACCATATAAATATATAAGATACCAAAAATTGAAAATATGTGCCTAGCCTAGATTCTTTGTGGCATAGAACTATGTAATTAATGTTTTCTAAAAACCAATGCAATTTAAACTAAGCTTCTTAATTGAGATTCTCCTGAGAGTCAGGAGGGGGAAAAACCTGGTATCACTGATATCTACTTAAGTTTGGGAAATGCAAAAAGGAAGGAACTGGGAAGCCTAGGTCACTCCATGCTATTTCAAAGATGTCTTTCTCAGTTTCTGAGGCTGACTAAAAAAGGTTCAGGCACATTGACTTTTCCCCTGGAAAAGCTGATGTCAGCAATGACCACTGGGATAAATAGCCTTAAAGTCCCTTTGAGTTTTAAATCCTACCACCTGTTGATCTTAAAGTCTGAGGGAAAGGAAATATACCAATAAAGACCTCAACAGTGAATGGCTGTCCTAATATAACCCAACACAGAATCCCATGATTCTTGTCTCCATACTCCATTGAAGCATCCTAGCACCCTCTGATTTAAAGGACAGATTGAATCTACAGAAACCTTATGCAGAACACAAGATAAAAATAGAAATACTTAAAGATGAAGAAACATATGTTCACAACTGAAAATATTTGTGATGATGGATCAAAGAAGTAAACAAATGTTCATAGGAGCACTTTTGCATGCTGTATGTATATCCATCTTCATACCTCTTGATGGGTTTCAGACACCGAGGATGATTTCCTGATGGTGGACACGGTATGCCTCCTGAGATGGGGGAAAAAAAATGAAATGGTATCTCATGAAACAGCCTTGATTAACAAGAAATCTTCTTTCACAACACTTCAAACAGATAACCATGCAGTAATAGAAACAATCAATTAATCAACAGACATTTATTCAGCACCCACTACATGATAGGCACTGTGTATCTTGAACATTTTGGAGACAAAAAGCAAACCAGTCTCTGCTTTCAAAGAGCTTGTATTACAGTAAAATGACTGAAATAAAGCCTACAAATATAAGGAAGTCTTTGAACAAGCCTCGTGAAAGACATGTACTTGTTACTACTGCTGCAGCGCGGATATCATAGAATTCCTTGGATTAGAAGGGAGCTTAGAGGCCATTTAATCCAACCCTTACCTGAATAAAAATCCCCAGTGCAATATACCCACCAATTGGCCATCCAGACTAGGCTATGTATTCTTAAAATGTGAAATAAATTACAGTGATTCTTCCTACTCATCAGCCTGTATTATGTCAATAATCTACTTCTGCTTTTTAGAAAGGCTAAGAACTATAGATCAAAATGCCCAAAGTTATAGTTATTCTATTGATGCTATAATGTGTGATCTTGTGCATTATTTCCCCCTACTGGACCCTCTCTCCTTCCTAGGTTTTCATGATTCTGCTCTCCTGGTTCTTCTCCTATCTTTCTGGTGATTTAATGGTTCACTCTTCATCCATTTCGTGACCATTCATCATGGGTCCTTTTCTTTCTCTACATTATCTTAGTCAGTGATTTCATCAGCTCGTATGGTTCAATTATCATCTCTATGTATATGATCCCCAGATCTTTATGTCCAGCCCTAGTCTCTGTCCCAAATTACAGCCCTACATCACCAACTGCCTTTTGGAGACACTGAAGGGGATGTCCTGTAAGCATTTCAAACTCAACATGTCCAATAACAGAACTCTTTTGCCCCAAACCCTCCCCTCTTCTAAATTCTGCTACCACCATCAGTGGTAATACCGCCCTCTTCATTACCCTGATTCTTGTGTCATCCTCATCCTTTTCATTCACCCCACATATCCAATCCATTGCCAGATCTTGGCATTTCTGCATTCACAATGGCCTGGTATATATATCCTCTCCTAGTCCCTTCCTACCTTTCCAATCTTCTTACTTTACTCTCTTCCAGCCATTCTACAATCTAGCTACTCTAGTCCAGGGCTTCTTAACTTTTTCTACTCATGACCCCTTCAGCACTTCTTAAACTGTGGGTTGTGACATGACCCACAGTTTGAGAAGTGCTGCCCTACTTTCTGATTCTAAATATAACATTCCATCTTCCATCTCTCTGGCTTACCACTGGCTATCCTCCTGGCCTAGAATGCTCTCCCTCTTCATGTCCACTTCTGAGTTTCCCTGAATTCCATCAACACTCAGCTCAAAGGGCAGCTAGGTGGCACAGTAGATAGAGCTCTGGCCTTGGAGTCAGGAGGATCTGAGTTCAAATCCAGCCTCACACACTTAACACTTACTAACTGTGTGGCCCTGGGCAAGTCAATTTGCCTCGATTGCCTCACACACACACAAAAAAGACTCAGCTCAAACCCCACCTTCTAATGAAGGACTTTCCTGCCCCAACTCCACTTATTGTCATTCCCATTAGAACTTAAGCTTTGAGAGAGAGAACTGGTTTTTCCTCTTTCTTTTTTTTTTTTGTATCATAGCACTTAACAGTGTTCTTGATATAGTAAACACTTAATAAATACTTATTTACTGACTGTCCTGACCTTTCATTTTACTTCTCTAATGTTTATGGAACATTTTTTCCCCTCCAAAATTGGCCAAAAATATGAACATTGGAATCAGGTTGCTGTTCACTTATTTTCAGTCATGTCTCATTCTTTGTGATCCCATTTGGGGTTTTATTGGAAAAGATACTGGTGTGAATTGCCATTTCCTTCTCCAGTTCATTTTACAGATGAGGAAACTGAGGCAAACAGTTATGTGACTTGCCCAAGGTCACACAGCTAATAAATGTCTGGGGCCAGATTTGAACTCATAAAGATGAGTCTTCCTGACTTCAGGCCCAGCACTCTCTACTGTGCCACCAAGTAGCCCCACTTTAAAGCCAAGCATATAAGCATTTGTCACAGACACGTGGTAATACAAATGCAAAATGTGTCTTTCTCCCTGGATACCAAGCCAAAGGGGCCTCTATCACATCTTGAAGTGGTCATTGACAACATTCTGCTTTCCCAGTGGAATAGATAGCTGTGCTGCATCTTCTTTAGGCAGCCTCTGAAACTGAGAATGATGTCTGTTGTAATAGCATGAAGTTAATAAATAGACCTCCTAGCTCCTTCCTTTTTTTTTTTATTTCTCAAATCTGGATAGAGGTCAGTGATCCCAGTTCTTTTCCTGCCCTTCAGGAGAATCTCACTCCAAAAGTTTAGTATAATTATATCAGTCCACTGTTATTCTCACAATTCACTCAGCAACATTCAATTCTTATTGAGCACCTACTACATAATCAGTGATGAAGCAAATATAAAGATGAAATTAGACAGGGACTTTACCTTGTCCCATGGAGATTCTTACTAACCTAATTTACATGTTAAATTTTTATTGCAGTTCAAAGTATTCACCAAAATGCTCCCTGATTTTAATCAAAGCTAAAGAACATGAAAAACTATGGCCAAAAAAGACATCAAATTACTCTTCAGTCTTTGGCTCATGTTCTCCCCTTCTGAAATGTCCTTCTTTGCCAGTCAATCTATAGAGCAACAGGGGGCCATCTCCAGTCTTCCTGATCTGTAGCTCCCCACTGGACCCAGATGGCTCCAGAGAAGAAAGTGAGGCTGGTGACCTTGCACAGCCCTTCCTCACTTAAATCCAATTCATTTGCAAGTCATGGCATCGCCTTCCTAATGCCAGGATCCTCTTCAAGGGAACAAAGGACAAACAGCATAGAGTAACAAGCATTCATTAATCACCTACTGTATGTCAAGCACTATGGTGGGCCCTGAGGATACCAAGACAAAAGTACAGCAGTCTCTATCCTCGAAAAGCTTATAGTCTAACATGAATACATACATATATTTATAAAATAAATATAAGATAATTTGGAGACAAAAACACTAGCAACTGAGGGAAGGTACTTGCCTCTAGTCATGGGAGACAGCCAGTAAAAAGGAACTAAAAGTGAAGTAAAAAGGGATACCAGGTATGAAGAACAGTAAAAGGGTCATTTTGACTAGATATGTACATGCTCCATTAAAAGCTACATTTACTTGTAATGAGAAGAAAAATGAATGATAGCAGCTTAAGTTTCCCTTTAATTAAGCCTTTATTTAACTTTAAAATAATAATACTACCCTTTATATAGCAGTTAAAAAAGAAAAAGCAGACCTGGGAATCCATCAGCACAAGAAGCCCCTGGACAGAAGCTCCCTCCACTAAGGCAGATCGTCCCTACTCTGCAACTTAAGAGTCTCCTGGGACGCTGCAGCAAAGTCGTATGTCCCAAGTCTCCAGGATTTGAACTCATGTTTTCTTGTCTCCAGCTCCCAGGCCAGTTCTCTATCCACTAAGGCATGGCAGGGAATCTGCAGCCTCAGGCCACATGTGGCCCTCTAGGTCCTCAAGTTCGGCCCTTTGAGCCTTGAGGCCAAAAGTTTCCCTGTCCCAAGGTATGCTATCTCTTATCCTTACTTTACTTTCACAAAATACTATTGCTCCTCTAGTATAGAATTTTCCAGTTTCTATTTTATTTGAACCTAACAATGACCCTGTGAAGCAAAAAGTTCAGCAAAGAGAACCAGAGAGAAAGAGGATGAGGCATCAGTGAAGGAGACAAGATAATATAATAATAATAATAATAATAGCTAGCATTTTTATGGCACTTTAAGGTTTGCAATGTTTTCTCATTTGCTCCTCACAACAATCCTGAGGGGAAAAAAGGGGGCAGCTAGGTGGTGCAGTGGATAGAGCGCTGACCCTGGAGTCAGGAGGATCTGAGTTCAAATCTAGCCTCAGATACTTGACACTTCTTAGCTTTGTGACCCTGGGCAAGTCACTTAACCCCCAATTGCCTCAAAAAAAAAAAAGACAATCCTGAGAAAAAAGGGGCTGTTGTTCTTCCCATTTTACATATGAGAAAACTAAGGCACAAAAGGGTTAAGAGACTTGCCAGGGTCACACAGCTAGTGACTGTCTGAATCCAGATTTGAACTCAGATCTTCCAGACTCCAGGACCAGCACTTCAAGTCACCCAAGTTAAGTGTGGTGTCTACTGATGATGTAGGAGAGGGTATTCAATAAAAGATACAGAATCAATAGTGTCAAAGGCAACAGGAAAGTCAGAGGGGATGAAGAGGCAGAAAGTCATTGGATTTAACAATTACGAGATCATCAGTGTCCTTTGAGAGGGGACTTTCAGCAGAAGCCAGATGAAGAGGGACTCAGGAAAGAGTGGGTGTTAAGGTGGTGGAGGTGGTAATGATACCTGTTTCGAGAAACTTAACAGGGAAGAGAAGTAGAGGGGCAGAGCAGAAACTAGAAAGGGAAAAAAACATTTAAACTTTGTTTAAAGGCTGGGAGAGACCAAAATAAGTCTGTAAATAGTTGGGAAGGAACCAAATGGAAGGAGAGACTGGAAATGCATAAGAGATAGAGAATAATTATTGAGGCAAGGAAAACAAGATCCCAGAAATATAGAGGTATGGTACCTCCTTTACCCAAATTACCATAACTGGACACTAGGTGGTAAAATGGCTAGAGTTCAGGCTTTGGACTTAGGAAGACCTGAGTTCAGGTCTCACACACTTACTAGATGTAGGACCTTAGATACATCATTTACCTCTCTGTGCTTCAGCTTCCTCATCTGTAAAATGGGAATAATAATAAATAGCACCTACCTCATAGGAAAAATAAAGTTGTTCTGAGGTTGTTTTAGTGAGTAACATATAAAGCACTTTGCAAACCTCCAAGTGGTATATAAATGCTGTTATTATTAATTTTGTATGTATTTTGCATATATTTATGTAAGTATATGTTATCTCCCCAGTATAATGTAAGCTGCTAGAGGTCAGAGGCCATTTTTAATACCTCCAGTGCCTGGCACACAATGCCTATTGATTGATTAAGTCATTGATAGGCAGAAGAATTAGCCTTAGTGAGGAGTAGAAATACTTCTGTTCCTAGCAAGAAGGAGAATGCTGATCTCATTGAAGTAGGAGCCTAAGTCATCAGATGGAGGCCATTCTTTAGGGGGCTTGTAGATCATAGGATCATAAATTCAGAGCTGGAACAGAACTTAAACCGTATATAATTCAATCCCTTAATTTTACAGATGAGGAAATTGGGGCCCAGAGAAGTTAAGTGGGTTGGTCAAGTTCATACCGATTGGAAGTGATAGAGACATGATTTAAACCTAGATGTTCTGATTCTATATCTAGGATTCTTACCTACAGAAGGGAAAAAAAGTCACCATCAGGAATACTGTAGGCAATTGATAAGAGTCTAGAGGAAGGATTATTGAATAGTGAAGGGCCACCTACGGATATACCATAAATGTATATGTAAAATCTGGATTCCACTTTCTAGCTGAAAAAAAATTAGGTCTCAAAGAAGGTTCTATAGTTAGAGATAGGAAGGGATTAAAATCCAGGTTTTCTGACTATTCCCATCATTCGATGCCGCTTAAAGAAAAGATGATGTAAGGCAGTTTTCAGTAGCCATCTGGAGAGTATACTAGCCAACAAGTATGCAGAGTGTTTGGGAGAATGAAGGGGAGCAGTCCCCTACTGCTCTTTTGCCAAAGGCCAATCCTGGAAGGTTCTGGAATACAACCCAGTCCTGCCCTCCCTCCAGAGACTAACAATTCTAAGGTCTTCTGAGACCCACCAGGTGATGACATGAGAGTCCCCTTGATGGAGCTAAATAAAACAGAACCAGAGCCTTCTTATCAATTGCTGATGGTATTCCTGATTCCTGACTTAAAGCCTATCTCAGCCTCTTGACTCAGAAACCAATGCAGTTAAGTAGAAGATAACAGAACTGCTCTGCTCTCTAGCCCAGAGAGGTAAGTGCAGTGAATAGAGCACCAGGCCTAGAGTCAAGAAGATCTGAGTTCAAAACTGGCCTCAGACCCTTGGCAAGACCTGAACATGAAAAGACATGGAAAGATTTAAGGCCTATTTGCCTCAGTTCCTCATCTGTAAAATAGACACACTAGAAAAGGAAATGGTGGGGCAGCTAGGTGGTGCAGTGGATAGAACACCGGCGCTGAAGTCAGGAGTACCTGACTTCAAATCCGGCCTCAGACCAAACACTTGACACTTACTAGCTGTGTGACCCTGGGCAAGTCACTTAACCCCAACTGCCTAAAAAACAAACCAAAAAAAAAAAAGAGAAGGGAAAAAAAAGACTCATATGACTCTGGTGATCTGTGATCAAAAAATTGAATGTTACTCCTCCTTTCTCCCCTCCCCCAATAAAAATCAACCTCATCTCCTTAAGTAAACATTGCCTGATGTGCTTGACTTAATGCTGTTTGGTAAGTAGTAAGCAATACGCTCACATCAGTAGAACATTTTGTAAACATTAGAACACCCAGAACATTGCCTAGCCTGTAGTCGTTATTTAGCAATGACTTGCTTACTTGATGGCAGAAGAGTGTAATGGATAGAATGCTGGATTTAAATTCTGAAAGACCTAGGTTCAAATCCTGCTTCAGACAGTTATATGACTCTAGGTAAGTCATTTGACCTCTAGGAACCTCTTTATATTGATGTGTTCGAAGAGAGTAATAATTGCATCTGCCTCCCAGGTTATTGCGCACCTCAAACAAAATAATGACATAAAGCATTGTGAATGCCTTAAAGGACTACAATAAATGAGAGCTAACATCATGTCATTTGAGCCTCACAGTCACCGCCAGTTTTCTAAGGCAGATATTTCCCCATTTTACAGATAAAGAAACCAAGGCTCAGAAAGGATGGCCACGTTCTCTTCGCTTCTAAGTGGCAGAGCCAGGACTCAAAACCAGGCCTTCTGGTCCCAAGTTCAGAATTCTGTCCACTCTACCTATAGCAGATGCTGTCCTTTTTAGTTTGCAACTTGGCTATGTCATTTCACCGAAAGACAACACCGGTGCTGAGTGGCCTGATCCTATCTATTGGTTTCTGAGCAAAAAAATCATCTTTGACTTAAAAGGATATAATGTAAACTTTGTCAGTGCTTTATAGAAGTTACCTGTAATCCCTCAGAGATTCCTCCTTGGCTGCTTTCTGCCTACCAGATTGGCAACAGGCAAATTTGCAGTCAATGACCTGGTAAATAATTGGGTTGTACATAGCTGCTGACTTCGCAAGCAAAGTTGGCACCACTGAAAACTGAACCGGGATGGAATCAGGCTGTCCAAAAGCTGACCACACTGACACCACGGCATAGGGGATCCAGGCAATCAGGAACCCTGCACAGATCAACATTGCCACCTGGTGAGAGAAGATAACAAATGAGAGAATCAATTGGCAGATGTACAATACTATACAAAACACAAAGGCCCAGAATATGTAAAACTATAAAATTATTAAAAGAAACAGATGAAAAACAATGACCATGGGGCAGCTAGGTGGCCCTGGAGTTAGGAGGGCCTGAGTTCAAATCTGACCTCAGACACATAACACTTACTAGCTGTGTGACCCTGGGCAAGTCACTTAACCCCATTGCCTAAAACAACAATAACAATGACAACAGCAAAAAAAAAAAAAACAATGACCACATACAACCTGGAAAATCCACCTAACATCTTCTTCCTCTCCCTCCACATAGCTAGACTTTATTTTGCATGTACCCATGTAGTGCTTTAGCCAATAATATTTCATAAGAGCACAAACTTATAGTTGGAAAGAATATCCTAGACCATAAAGTCCAACCCATCTTACTTTCTAGATGAAGAAATTAAAACCTAACGACGTGAAAAGATTTGCCAAGGTGGCACATGTGGTGAATACCAGACCCCAGATTGCAACCCAGGTCATAGGATCATAGATTTATAGCTGGAAGGGACTTCAAAGGCCATCTACTCCAATATGCTCATTTTACTGAAGAGGTAACTGAGGCCCAGGGAAGTTAAATGACTTGTCTCTAATACAGGTGGTTTGCAAGACAGTTGTTGTTCAGTTGTTTCAATCATGTCCAACTCTTTGTGACAGCAGTTGGGATTTTCTTGGCAAAAATACTAGAGTGGTTTGCCATTCCATTCTTCAGCTCATTTTACAGATGAGGAAACTGAGGCAAACAGGGTTAACAGACTTGCCTAGGGCCACACAACTAGTGTCTGAGGCCCAATTTGAACTCATCTTCCTCACTCCAGGACTAGCACTCTATCCATTGTATCATCTACCTGCCCTAAGAGGCTTTGAACCAAAGTCCATTGATTTGAGTCAATGATCTCTCTCCTTTACCCTATTGTCATATTTCTTTAAGGATCCATGATTGTGTCATTGAGGATAGGGGGCAGAGATTGCATGCAACCCTTCTACAGCTTATAGATAATCTTAAAGAATTCTTGAAGGTAGAATATTGATTGCCCTGACACCTAGAACAGTCAATTGGTCAACAAACATTTATTAAATACTAAGTACCAGGCATTCTTCTAAGCAGTGGGGCTACAAAGAAAGGAAAACACCTGGTCCCTGCCCCTAAAGAGGTTACTTATTAATGGAAATGACGAAAGGCCTTTCCACAGTTAGCTAGGCTACTCCTCAGATGAAAAACACATGGTCCCACCTCCACACCTTTCTAGTTTGGTGGAATACATTAGAACATTCATCCTACTAATGTAGCCTTTGAGAATTCAGTGTCACCTCCATGCTACCACTTGGTAGAGGTTGGCCAAGTCATTGTTAAATCTCTTTATCCTATTTGCCATAAGTTGCTGCCCTTTCTATATCACATTCATCCAGGGATACAAATGCACCCAAAGTCTAAAATAAACTGAGATGTGCTCAGTTCAGGAGGAAAGGAACCATGCCAGAGAGCACACATCTTCCTGAGTCTGTCCTGATTACTCAGCCCACATCCACTTACAACCTACTTGGGGGATTTGTTCACCTTGAAGAAACTTTCAGTGACCCAGATTTGCCATTAGGGAAAACTTTGCCCTCATTGAAATTTCAGTATGAATCTTCTTCAGGGATGCATGTTAATTGTTCACTGGATCATAAGATTTAGAGCTAAAATGAGGGACTCCATGGCCTTTGAGATCCCTTCCAACTCTTTGATCCTATAACAATATCACAGAATTAGACCTGGATAAGAACTTAGAGGCCATCCAGCCCAACCCTTGATTTTATAGATAAGGAAACTGAGGCCCAGAAAGGTTCAGATCCTTGCTTAGGTTCACACAAGTCATGGTATCTAAAGGAGAATTTAAACTGAAGTCTTCACCAATCCGAGCCTAACACTCAGTCCACAGTGGCACCTAGATGCCACACCAGCCACTTTATTTTACAGATCAGTATGTGAAAGTAACTTGCCCAAGGTCATGCAAGTAGTGGGGTAATACCTCTGAGAATCAGATTTAGGCTTTCTAAAACCAGTGCAAATTCTACATTCCCAAATTGCCTTAAAGTTAAAGGGCTGGGAGCTTAAGGAACATGGCCCAGGTCTCAGAGTAAGCAACGTAGGCCCAGTAGGGGCTGCCTCACATTCCAGTGCCTGCAATGCTCACCTGTGTTTTACCAAAAATTAGAACAAGCCTAATAATTACATGCAAATTTCCTGCTGGGCTTTGCTTGCCATCTTTCTCCAGAGACCTGTTGGGTTGAAGTTCTACTCTGCTCTGTGATGATTTTTTGTTTTCATATGGAATGGCTGCCTAGAGGCTCTGCAGTGAATGCCTTTTTGAAATTCCTAAATAAATAATAAATATATAAATAAACATTGCTTTAGCAGATGTCTGGGGGTTTAACATTACTCTCATCCATTCTCCTTTGGTGACTCATATGCTGATTTCACAATATCTCAAAAGCCATTTTCTGTGCTGTGTACTTGTGCACTCCTGCCAGAGTCATTGACAGAAAATAAATTAACACTTAGCAAATAATATTTCCTACATTTTATGTATTTTTTGCCTTTATGGGAGTTTGCAATAGAATTCAGGAAGTACTTAAAATATTTGTGCTGTTTTCCCCCTTCGGAAAAGACACATTGAAGAATTAGATCCCAGACAGAGAAAATGAGGTAATTCTGCAATAAAGCGCCTCTCTCCCCCTGACTGATATAAAAGCCAAATGATGTCAAGTGTATTTGATTGACTATAACATGGCTCTAAGAGAAAGAGAAGAGGGATGAGAAATGGTGATTAAAAGTTTTGAATATATGCATAGAAGCATATGCATACATAGATGTGAACTTGTGTATATGTGTATACATAAAATGCATGTGTGTATATAGATGTGTATGCATATATTATGTTCTATAGAAATATACATATACGCATATACATATAAATATGTATATGTCATATACATTATATATACTATATATACATTAGGAAGGAAGGAAGGAAGGAAGGAAGGAAGGAAGGAAGGAAGGAAGGAAGGAAGGAAGGAAGGAAGGAAGGAAGGAAGGAAGGAAGGAAGGAAGGAAGGAAGGAAGGAAGGAAGGAAAAAGAAGGATGGATGGATAGAAAGAAAGAAAGAGAGACACATAGATGCTGTTGAACTTGGGGTCAGAAAAGACACAGGTTTGAGTCTCAGCTCTGCCACTTACTAGTTAAGTGTCCTTGGGCAAGTTGTCTCTATAAGGCATGTCAGTGAAAGTTAATTAATTTCCTTAGACCTCCTTCTCCATCCTCTTTCAAAGGGGAAAAAAAAAGTAGTTATAAGATGCTGAGTCAGAGGGTCATAGATTTAAAACTGAATGGCGTCTTGGATATAATCTATTCTTGAATGTCAAGCAAAAATATTACTTATCAATTAATGTATGTGGATGTTAACTGAAGGCTTATTGCCTTAACCCAAAGGAATAATGCTAAGGATGCAAAATTTAGATACTGTTATCATCTGGGAAATGCAGATTGGGGACCAAAAGTATCCTGGATCAAAGGATCAAAGATTTAGAAATCAAAGGAATCTCAGTGATCATCTAGTCTAATTCTTCATTTTACAGATAAGGAAACTGAAGCATAGGGAGCAGAAGTGACTTGCCAAATGTCATACCAGGTAAGATCACAGATCTAGAGCTAGAAAGGACTTTAGAGTCCATCTAGTGCAACCCCTCATTTTACAAATGAGGAAACTGAAGCCCAAAGAAATTAAGTGACTTGTTTAACAATATACCAGAGAGTAAACAGAAGATCAAAGATTTGAACCCCAGCCCTCTGACTCCAACTCTATCTTTTCATGTGTTTATTCATCCTGGAAACGGTACAAGTAGACAATGTTGATTTTACTTTAAAAAAAAATTTAAAAATCTCTCCTGCAGCTAATTTCTAGTTGCAATTTTCTTCACACCCGAATTTTGAAAACAAGTAAAAGCTATAGCTGAATAGCTGAAGAAAGGATGCAAATCAGGTCAGACCTTTCTATGCATTTGGGTTTTTCAGTTTAGGTCAAGAATTGAGCACAATATTCTCACATTAGTCAGGTAATGGTTTAAAGCACAGGAGCTAGATTTTAAATATTTAGGACAGTGCTCCCCACCCTTTTACTTGGAAGCTTTGGCCATCCATTGCAGTCCAACCAGGGTCCTCAGGCAATGACCAGTGCTGCTCTGAGCATAGACCAGGTAATGGGGGATAGTTGAGGTGAAAGCAAGGCATAGTGCCAGGTAATTTTTAACAGAGCCAACCCAAAGTAGCCATATTCACATAAACAGCATTTGATACAGAAGAAAGAAGAAAGGGAGAAAGGGGATTCATTAGAGGAGAAAACACGATTGCATGTTCAAACCTCAAAGAATCACAAAGGGGAGGAACAAAACAAACCTAACAAAATAAAGCCCTCTGTAAGTAATGAATGTAGAGTATCTAAGGTGGAACATAATTTTCATTCTTATAGCACAAGAGGATCATGCTGGGCCAAAGCCATGAATCAAAGGGTCACAAAATATCCAACATCCAGCATTCCTTTGTGTTATTAGGAAGAGATGGCTCTCTTCAGGTGCTATAGTAGTATGGCAAGAACACTGGTTTGGTAGTCAAAGAGCCTGGGTTCCAATATTGTCTCCCATATACTACATAAACTTCTTGAAGCCAGGGGCTATTTCACCTACGTCTTAGTGCCTATCATGGTGTTGGGTACATTGTAGGTACTTAATAAATGTTTATTGATTTGTATAATTTTGGGTGTGTAATTTATGATCTCAGGCCTCAGTTTCCTCATTGCATTGAACAAAATGGACTTTGAGGTCACTTCCATCCCTCCACCAATAATCCTCTTTTCTCTGGGCTTATTTCCTCATCTGTGATGAGATTAGAGAGATTAAG